CCGAAAGGGGACTTGCCTCTCAAAGAGTACCTCTGCCTCTTTTGGCATACCCCTTGTCATAACAATCAGGTTAAAACGGTTGTTGTCCTTCACACAATACATTTTACAGTTATACAGAAGCCTTCCCCTTTGGTATCCTCTTGTAAATCTTAAGTCTACAATGCATTTTGTCTAACATGTCCACTCTTACCCCTCCAGTCTACTCTCCACAGGCAGCCAAAGCAATCTCTTAAAAATCTAAATTAGATCATGCCACCGCCTTCTATCACGTCTCCTAGAATGTAATACATAAACAAGGACTTACAGGATGGCACTCCCAGCCCCGTCAGCTCCAGTTGACAGCCCTTTTCCCTGCTTACTGTGCTCTACCACTTGGGCCTTTTTGTTCTTTTTCTAACACACTAAACTCTCTTCCACCTCAAGGGGTTTGTTCTAGCTATATCTTTGCTTTAGCTTTCTCTTCTCCTGATTACTTGCATACAGGGTCCTTTGAGCACTCAACGTGAATCTTCAGAGAGGCCGTCTCTGACAATTCTATCTGCAGTCATTCTGTCTGCTCTCATGTGTCTGTTTCCTTCATAGCACTCACAGGTTTTGGTCAATTGTCTACATTGCTCACTCCCTTGAAATGTCAGCTCCTGGAGCACTTGGATTCATTACTGGATCCTCAACATCTGGTATACTTGAGCAACTTTTTTTTTGTTTGTTTGGTTTTGAGACAGGGTCTCACTCTGTTGCCCTGGTTAGATTGCGGTGGCATGGCTCACTGCAGGTTCTATTGAGCTTCTTGCTCCAGTCTCTGGAGTAGCTGGGATTATAGGAGGCTACCACCGCATCTGTCTAATTTTTACTTTTTAAAAACTTTTTGTAGAGATGGAGTCTCACTATGTTGCCCAGACTGGTTTCAAATTCCTGGCCTCAAGCAATCTTCCTGTCTCAGTCTCCCAAAGTGCTGGGATTATGGTCATGAGCCACCACCATGCCTGGCCTTGTATAACTGTTGAATAACTTAATGAACAACAACTCAAGCTCAGACACAGATTTTAGTCAGAGCACAAACCAGAAGAGAAAAATATACTCTTTATTACCAGGACCCTTTTCTTAAGTCTTCCTTTTATTTCCAATATAATTTTTATGTGGAGATAGTTGATGTCCACATTGATGGCTCATCTAACAACCTAGCCTTGACATTTCTGGATCTCCTCCTCCAAACATGAAAATGTTTGCTTTTGGTCTACTTCAACTACCTACTTCTACTTTTGTAATCTGAAATTCCAACAATCCACCTGTGGTCATAAACTTTTTGCCTTCTAGTTTACTTGCTTTCATTCCACTTGGAGACCCAAGGCATGAGAATTCTCACTGGTAACTGAGCCAGGGTTCAGGAAGCCAAGACATCAAATCAATGTGCAGAACATCTGCACATCAGGAGTCAGGGATACAAAGCATGGGTGCTCAGGACGTCTAGAAATAACCTGGATACTAGTACTTGGTCAAGCCAGCAATTTTAACCCCAGCGGATACACATTTAGGGACAGGGAAGACGCACAACATCAAAACCATGGACATACAGGCAGGTAAAGACACGAACTGGAAGACTGACATGAGGAACCAGAAATAATACTTAGTGACTTATTGATCTTCCCAGCCATTGACAGAGGAGAGGGAACAGGAATGGAGTTGGAGTTATTCTTGGAAACTCAGAGCTCTCTCTATCAATTTTGACAACGTGACTTCTGACTATTACCAGTGATATTCTTCCCTTCAATTCTCCAATAGGCAGTTTTCAGTTTTCATCCTGCTGGGCCTCTTGGCTACATTTGACTTTGTGGGTGGGCTCCTCCTTCTGAAAGTGTTATCTTCTCTAAGATTTTATGACATCGCATTCCCTAGTTCTCTTCTGAACACTTTGCTGCCTCTCTGTCTCTCAAGTAGTCCTCTTTTTTTTTTACCTTCCATCTGGTATTCCTCAAGGTCTGCCCTGTGCCTTCTCATCACTTAATTTTACATAGTCTCTACAGTGGTCTCTTTTACTGTCATGACTTCTTCAAGTACTCGTGGCTACCAGATCCATGTCGCTTGCACAGTTACTTTATGCCTGAGCTTCAGAAGTGTATGTTCAACAGCCTTTTGGATATCTCTTCCTGGATGTCTCCCAGGTTCCTCAAGCTCAACATGTCCCAAACTGAATTCCCAGTCTTCCCTTCCCAACCTCCTTTCATTCTCATATTGCTTATTTCGGTTCTATCATCCACTGAGCCACCCAAGCAAAAAACCTAGAAATCAAAATTAACTGGTTCCTCTCCTTACAACCCACATCTATCATTTTATTCATTCATTCAACAACTTTAATCAAGTCCTGTGATTCACCAGGTATTGTTCTCATTATGGGCTAAACAATGGTAAGTAAAACAGATATAATTCCTATCCCAATGAAGAATATAAACTACTGGCTGACTTCGCCTCCAAAGTGTTTTTTAACTGTCCTTTTTCTCTCTCTCTCTCTTTTATTTTTTACTAGCAGTAGCTGGTGTGTAATACATGTTCAATTAATCCTTATTGAATGAATGAATACATGAGGATGTAACTATCTGAACATCTGCTGCCTACGTAGCACAGAATGTGACACAGCAATCTGGTGTCATTAAAAATACGTCTAAGCACACATTATGAATCAATAGAAGCCAAAACATCTGGCCAATTTAGCTAGAAAATCTCCAATGAAGCATTAGTATGTTTTATATGTGTTATGCAAACGCTCAGATGGTCAGGGCTTCCGTGGAATTGACTGGGTATTTTCGCACAGCGTAGGCTCAGCCAGACCAGTCTTGATCTCTCCCAGGGACACATTATTTCTCTGAATTGCACATATGGCTCACTGACTTCTAGAGTTGAGCATAAGTACAAACTCTGAATGCTTGCAACTACTTTCATCAGCTCAGTCATTTCCAAAATGTTATTAGAGCCACGTGGCTATTTATGAACACCAGCAGACATTCACTGGCTCTTCAATCTGAAGACATCAATGCGATTGAAATTATTCATGCTGAAGAATAGCACAGAGGGGTTACAGCCAGGCAAAACTCAGGCATCATAAGGAATATACAGTATGGTTAAACAACAAGAATAATATTGGCTAATAATGATCTCATCTTTCATAGTAACTATTTGATGACACCAGCAAATATCTTTAGGAAATTAGCAAAGAAATAGTTCAAATATTCCTATACAATTTCACCAGATCAACCAGTAATAGAATAAAACCATAGTCTTCCCAATTATAAGTAGCAAGGTCAGGTACAACTGAGAATAGAATAAGGAATTATCTCAATTCCCGCAGTCAGCTTAAATGGAGAGAGCTTTCAAAAATAATAATAAAATAAAATAAGATAAAAAACGAAGAAAGGGAACTTTAAGTAGAATTACTGAGGTATTTAGGATAAGGCATGCATCTTCTCTTGAAGTTACTGGCGTTCAGACTCAAGTTACCAACAGGCAGAAGCAGCAGAGAGGGCTCTGCTGGCTGGCCATGCACCCACTCCAGGAAATATCCTGGATCATTATTTTATATCATAGCAAACTGTGCCATGCACACCAATTCATAGAGGGAAAGAAATAGGCATTGCAATCATTTATGACTTGTGTGGGTATAATAATTTCTTGGGAAATCAAACACTCACAAAACAAATAGTATAAGACCTAATGGTCAACTCTTGCAGGGCATGCAGGCTAGCAGCTTTTCCCAGGGAAATCTGACCCATGCACTGTTTCATAGCTCCTTCCCATGGATTCCAATAAAAAACTGGAAGACCATCTTGATTCAGAGTACCCCATCAGTCTTTCAAATGCAGAAGAAAGACTTTCAGCATTTTAACCTTTTCTGTTTTACATTTCTTTAAGCACACAGATCTTGCTTATCTACAAGTGAATGAGAAATATTCAGGTCTATGGATTTTAAAAATTAGCCTTTATATGTCTTCAAAAAGCTCCAGACATTATTGGCTGGGTCTGTATACTTTGGAATACTTTCAGCTTCTTCTTGGCTCAGGCTTATGTCAGAAATTGTCAGATAAGTCTTAAATACTGGCTCCCCCCGCCCACCATTAATTTCTTTTCAGAAAAAGCACAGTGGAGCCGTATCATTTAACTTGCCTGACTTCAACTATATGAGCTCTGTCTAAATGGTTAAAGGGAAAATCTATATTAGAGCAGGTGACTTTGCCAAGGCTGTGAACCAGCATTATGGTGAGGACAGAAACTCTTTGTTCACCTTGGTTCTTGACCTTGTCCAGCCTCAGTTCTCTAGTGGCTCTCAGAGACGGAGCATCTCATTGAGTTTAGCATGATTCTAATATTGAAAGAAAGAATTTTAAACATAATTTTGGTTTTGACGATCTACTCTTTTTGAACTTACATTGTAGCCCCGTCCTTCACACAAGATGCAAATTCACGCTTCATAAAAATAGGATTCTGTGGGTGGCTTTGAAATTGTATGCTGCTCTTGAACTCCCTAACTCTGGGCATCACATAATGCTGTTTTCATATTTCCAAATCAGCAGCGTCCTCCCGATTCTGACTCTCAGAGGACAGCACAGACCTGCTGACAGCCAGCTACCTACAAAGGGGCATTCTCTTGCACTTGACCCTCCTTTAGTTTAATAACAGCAGGCTTATCTTTTCCAATATGAGTTAATTTTTTTGCGGTAAGATTACAATTCAGTTTCACATGACATTTATTATTAGCTAGGTTAGAAAAAACAACCACACAAATGAAAAGGGAGAGGGTGTTAAGAACCCTTTGGCATTTCTGGCATTTCCTGAAATTGCATAGAGGTTAATTCTGACCTGAGGAGATAATGGAGATACGTTTGATCATTTGCAATTATGGTGATCAGTCAAGAAAAGGTTAAAGATGAATCAGTTTTCTCTGTGGTGTCTGGGTTGGAGATGCACGCGAGCATGCATTTGCGGCTAACCAGAAGCAGGCAGAGAGGACTTACATTCTGTTTCCCCACGATGTTATCGAAGGGCAGTTCGGGGCTCCAGGATCCTTCTGTGAACGTCGCCCCACTGTTTCTTCGGTCTGAGGGGCTCACGGACTCCTTGACGATATCTTCAGGCAAGGTCAGCAGACTCTCCTCAGGCTGCTTAATTAAATAGGTCTCTATATTATGCTTCCTCAAGAATTCGTTCCTCTCTTTACCATGACCCTCTTCCACGTTATAGTCACCGTTGAGGCAGTCCAGTGTGGCTTTGGAAATGTGAATCCTCCTGTATGTACAAGGCATAGGTCATTACACATTCCTGATGTTGCCTGCAAAGGCTATAGCTGGTTTTTTTTGTCCTGTGCAAAGCCAACATCAGGGCTGCACATGGGGTGCTGTTAGGAACATGTCCTCAAGGACAATACTTGTCCTCCCAAAAGGTGGAAAGAATAAGAGAAAATAGAAGCATGAATCCATGAGTAGGGTCTCAGTGACTTTACCCCAGGGAACACTGTAGCCTTTAATAAAATACAACCTTGCTAAGCCACAACTAAGCAAATCTTTTGGCTTTTCTTAGGACTGTCAGCCTGATCCCAGTACACATTAAGAATAAGTGATTTTTTCAGTGGTGTTGACTATTTTGGAAATACAAGTGATATAAGTATTTCTGATCCTCATTTGCAATTATTGTCCAAATCACATGCAACAACAGTTCTCTTATCATCTTGGAACTTTTCCTATCATTTCAGTTTTCATATATTTGTGCCTTGCTTCCTCAACTTGTTTATAATCTTTTTAAGAACAAGGGCAGGTCTTAAAATTCCTAAAGCTACATTGAGGGTCCTTTGGAAAAACCACTGTAAGTTATAATTTCCCCAAAGCATGTGTATTACAAAAAGCAGAGAACAAAGCTGTGGACACGGCCAGCCTGGCTGCTGGCTACGCTAACTCACAAGTGAAATGACTCATTGCTGCACAATTGTCAGCCTCTGTAGCTCATGACTCAAGTTTCTTTTTTAGCAAAATACCATATGACATCTGGACCTTCAGGATCAAACTTGATTCTTGGAAACTTTACATGGCAAATTCTTCTGGGGAAGAGTTTTCCCTTTCCTCATAACTATCTAACTCAATCAGTCAGACTACGTACAGTACTATACTGTGATCTGCATAGACTGGCAAGGTGGTTATAACATGGATTTTGTTGCTAGATCACTTGTATTCAAACCCTAGCTCTACCATGTGGCAGCTGAGAGACCGTGGACCAATTGCTTCACCTGTCTGAGTCCATTTTCTCACCTGTGAAATAAGAAATATAATAGTACCTATCTCACAAGGTCATGCTGAGTATTATAAGAGTTGATTCATTGTAAGGTCAAAACAGTGCACGGTACACTGTATACACTATAAAAGCAAACACTTAAGTTATTAGGAGAATTCTAAAAACTGCCATCATGATCCCATTACTATTATGTATTCCGTGCCTCCTCAAAACTTACAGGAGATAGACTAACTTCTGAATAAGGCCTCCAAGGCCTTCATTCTCTGGCCCTGTCACTTCAAAGCTCATTTTCTGACACTCCTTCAATATAGCCCCCTATGCTCTCTCAAGTAATTGGCACTTTTCCCAATTCAGTGTGCTATTGCATGCTTGCTAATAGTTTCCTACACCTGGATTCGGCTCAGAAGTCATTTCCCTAAGCCGACTTTGGTGTTTCTTTGCATGAATGAATGCTTAATACTTTTCTTGCCTTTTGTAATTCCAAAAACAATATATCAAAGGAAGCAAAGAAGTTAAAAAATATTTTAGAGTGGAATTTTAAAATACATTGTACTTTTTTTGTGGCTATTGTGAGTGGAATTGTGTTTTTTATTTGGGTTTCTGTTTGTTTATTATTGGTGTAGAGAAATGCGATTGTCTTTTGTACATTTATTTTGTATCCTGAGACTTTGCCAAAGGCCTTTATCAATGTAAAGAGGCCTTTGACAGATTCTCTTGGGCTTTCAAGGTACACAATCATATCATCTGCATAGAGAGATAACTTGACTTCCTCTTTTCCTATTTGAATACCTCTGATTGCCTCCTCTTCTCTGATTGCTCTAGCCAGGACTTCCAATACTATGTTGAACAGGAGGGGTGAGAGTGGGCAAATGAAATACCTTGGCATCTTCCTAACCAGAGACGTGAAAGACCTTTACAATGAAAATTACAAAACACTGCTCAAAGAAATCAAAGCTGACACGAACAAGTGGAAAAATATCCCATGCTCATGGATTGGAAGAATCAACATCATGAAGATGTCCATCTTACCTAAGGCAATCTACAAATTCAGTGCAATACCCATTAAATTACCAACAACATTCTTTTCAGACCTAGAAAAAACAACACAGAAATTCATATGGAAACACAAACGTCCAAGAATAGCCAGAACAATCCTCAGCAAAAAAAAAAAAAAAAAAAAAGCAGGTGATATCACAATACCAGACTTCAAACTTTACTATAAAGCTACAATCATCAAAACAGCTTGGTATTGGTACAGGAACAGGCATATAGATCAATGGAACAGAATTGAGATTCCGGAAGCAAAACCTCAATTTCTCAACCAACTCATCTTCGACAAAGCCCCCACCACCTACTACTGGGGAGAGGAGAACCTATTCAGTAAATGGTGCTGGAAAAACTGGCTGACCACATGCAGAAGATTGAAACAGGACCCCTATCTATCCCCATGCACAAAGGTTAACTCCAAATGGATCAGAGACCTAAATGTAAAACCTCAAACCATAAGAACCTTAGAAAAGGAAGGAAATACTCTCATGGAAATCAGAACTGTCATCCAATTCCTGTACAAAACCCAAAGCCTACAGGTCATAAGAGAGAAGATAGACAAATGGGACCTTATTAAATGGACAAGCTTCTGCAAAGCCAAAGAAACCATCAAGAGAGCAGGGAGACAGCCTACAGACTGGGAAAAAGTA